TATCAAAGAGGAAATTCTAGCAAAGCTGGACTTGGTTACAAACCCAAAGAAAGTCTACAACCTCATAAAACTATTTTTGTGAAAGAGTCAAGGAAAACAGATGTGAAACCAGTTTCAAAAACTTTAAGAAACTCATTTAGACCTTTTCAAAGAAAACCAACATGTTTTTATTGCATAAAATTAGGTCATACATCAAATAGATGTTACATAAAACATTTTGGCATATCTAATGGCAAATATGAATGGGTGTCTAAAGGAACAAAACATTTTTACATGTCTAGATGATAGTTTGAGCATCTAATTGATTATCGAGAATCGGAAATTTTTTTCTTGTCATAATCAATTATGTTGAAAGTTTGAATTTTGAAAGTTTGAATTTATGAAAATTTGAAATTATTAAACTTTGAAATTTTGCAGTTTGAGATTCTTGAAATTTGAAATTTTTCAAATTGAGAATTTTGAAATTTGAAATTTGAAATTTTGCAGTTTGATATTTTTTTTAAAATTTGCAGTATGAGATTTTTGAAATTTGAAATTTTACAATTTGAGATTTTTGAAATTTGAAATTTTGTAGTTTGAGATTTTGAAATTTGAAATTTTTTCAGTTTGAGATTTTTGAAATTGAATTTGAATTGGAATTTGAAATTTGAATTTGAAATTTGGGATTAGAAATTTGAATTTGAAATTTGGAATTTGTTGGAATTTAAATTTGAAATTTGAAATTTGTTGCAATTTGAATTTGAAATTTGAAATCTGGAATATGAGTGCATTTGAATTTGAAAGTTGCCTAAATAAGAAGACTGCAATTGGGGGAAACTTCTGCATTTCATTCCATTATCTCTATAATCATTCTATTCCCCTATCTTTCTCTCTCTTCATTTGTCTTGGGTATCTTAGATATTGCATACTTAATATGATGTTCTTCTCTATGACACTTTGTAATGCATTATCTTCTCTACCTTGATTTATGTACTAATATGTACAAACTTGTTCTCAGTTTCTATTGCAATATTTTTCATAATTATCAGTGAAACAGGAAGATATTTTGATGATATTAATTTGTGTGAAACAGGGGGAGATTTTTTTCTCTTATAATATTTTTCATAATTATCAATGAAATAGGGAGATATTTTGATGATATTAATCTGTGTGAAACAGGGGGAGATTTTTTTCTCTTATATTATTTTTTATGATTATCAATGAAATATGGGAAGATTTTTTGATGAATTAAAATATGTGTGAAATTCTTCCCTATCTCTAAATTAAACAAGGGGAGTTAAGAGAAGTCTTTGCTCATATGAGTTAGGGGGAGTCTTGTTATTAATATATCCAGGGGGAGATTAAGAGACTCTGACACTTGATACTATACTATGCTAATCTTGAGCTGACTATATAGAGTCAAACATTTTAATTCATTTCAGGTGTTTCCTTGATCATCTTCAAAGAGGGGGAGATTGAAATCAATGAGGGGAAGATTGATGGAAATGTTCCTACATTCCCAAAAGATGATTTTGATGATGATTCAAGTCAACATCATTCAAGATGAATTAAGGACAAAGTGAATTTAAGACGTTGGTGAAAATGTGAAACATTTCCCTACATGCCCAAGATATGTTTTTTATAAAGATGATGATTCAAGCAATCCCAAGATGATTCCTGAAGACTAGATAGAGTCTTAAAATACTGGATATGGAGGTACAAGTTGATGAAGTAATATTATGCATAAGTCTCCAAAGCACAAGTGTGATAAAATTAATAACGTGATATTTTTCACTGTCATAATCAATTATGATGCATCAGAAATGGAAAAATGATTTTTTCTATCATAATTGATTATACCTGGTAACATAATCAATTATAGCAATTCAAATTTGAAAAATATATCTGTTTTGAAGAATAAATATTTTTTAATATATCTTGATTTTTATTCACAAAAATATTAATGTCCAACGACCATTTTCTCGATGCTATTTTTCTATTTAATTAAGTTTTGATGAAAAATAAAAAACACACAATTACAAAATTCGAAAATACATTTTACATTCAATCAGTTTTGAGAAAAGAATTCTGAGCAAGACAACAAAGATATTTTACACCTTCTGAGAAAACCCTCTTCTCTACTTTCTTCTGTCACACTTGTTCTTGGAGATTGACATTCTACGAGCTTCTACAATTTGTTGTCTCCATTACCCAGGTGTGACTGCACTTATTTTTATTACCTTCATCATTTTTGTATTGGTGGAAAAGGAGGTGTTTTTCATCCCTAGTGTGATTCTAGGGAGTTGTTCATCCTTAGTGGGATTCTAAGGAGGTGTTTTCATCCTTTGATTTATTCAAAGGAGGTTTTCATCATCCTTAGTGGGTTTCTACGGAGGTGTTTGTCTTTTTAATTAGTTTACTTTTTACTGGTTCTTCTGCTGAGTTGATTGTAATTTGTAAACTGATTTTGAAAGATAGTGAATTGGGAGTCACTCTTGTGTTAAGAGTTGACTGGGAACTAGATGTAGGGTTGACTATACCCGAACCAGTATAAATCTTTGTGTGTTCTTCTCTTTCATTTATTTCTTTCTCTTTTCATTATTATATTATCGTTTCATCTTTATCTGTGTTCAAAAAAATTATTGACTCACAAATAAATTTTTAATTTGACATCTATTTTAATTTGTGCATCTATTCACCCCCTCTAGATGTCATTTATCTAACAAGACTGATTTAAAATAAAAAAATGTAAAAATATTAAAACTATTTTAAGAATTGTACTTTAATTTAGATAAATTTTAGGATTAAATTAAACTTTCTATACTAGAAACAAATTTATTAATCTATTAATTTTATATAATTATTCTACATGTGATATCATTTCAAGCTGAAACCATAATATATATATATATATATATATATATATATAAGGACCGTTAATTGTTAATGATAAAAATATTTTGACAACTCATATTTATTTCATTCAACAATTATTTTTATTTTTAATCATAAATTTACTTATTATTATTATTATTATTATTATATTAATATAATAAGGTTGTTTTTGGGTGTCAAAATACCCAATTGTTAAATAAATAAAACAATCCAAAAAAGTTGAGGTATAAAAAGCTTATTTAACCTAAAACTATATATCTTTTAAAATCTAATTAAATGAATCTGAGGTCAAGCTTTCAATGAACTAGAAGGTGTTGCATTCCGTTTACACAACAAAATGTTGTACAATAACTTTTCAGAATCACCATTCTCGTCATGTAGCATCTATTGTTCCTATGTTTCACTAAGGTACGCGACTAATTTCATCTAGATTCATGTTCTACAAGGTGGTTGTAATGAAGAGTAAATCGATCTTGAAACTGATTTCTGAACTGTTGGGAAATCACATCACTACCAAGTTCAAGGCTTCCCTTTGGTTGGAAGATTACCTGATGAATAAATAATCGTAGCATGTAAAATTGTAAACTCTAGTAACTCAGATAAACTTGCACAAATCCAAATTCCCATATGAATGCACGAAATTTTTGGAAAAAACTAACAAACCTTGACAATAGATTTTAAGTGGTCACTAAGACAAGGACACAATGATACATATGTTCTTATTTATTGGATATGAAAAAAAGAAAAATTAGTGTGAAGTAGGCATGGCAACGGGGCGGGGCGGGGGCGGGTTTTGCCTCCCCGATCCTCGCCCCCAACTTTTTTAATCATCCCCGTCTCCAGTTCCGATCTCCGTCGGGTTAGAAATTAAGTCTTCATTCTCGTTCCGTTAGGTTTCGAGTTCCCCGTCCCGTCCCCGATCTATATTATTTTTAAAAAGATAATTACATTTATAATAAATTAATTTTACTATCTATTTTTTATATATAAATAAATATTTATAATTTTATAATTATTATTAATTAAATATATATTTTAATTTATTATATTTATATTAAAATATGTATGTAAAAGAAATATTTAATCATTTTTTATTTATAATATTATTATTATTATTATTATAACACTTGTTTTCAAATATTTGAATATTTATAACATTATTATTATAATACTGTATTCAAACATTTGATTATATATATAAGTTAATTCATTTTTAAATTGTCATTTAAAAATATGAAATATATAGTTTATAAGGAAATGTTTAATAAGTTAATTCTTATTTAATTAGTTTGAAGTAATAAAAGTTTAAATTATCAATTCCTTTAATCCTTTAAAATACAATTATTTTATTAAGATAAAATTTGATATATGATAAATAAGGATAATAAGATAAAAAAATATGACATAATAAAACCTAATAAATATAAGTTATAAATAAAATAATATTAGTTACTACTAAGATTTATGTAAAATATTTAGAAAAAGATAAAGAATAAAAAAAATTAACTTTGTGTTCATCAAATTGGTTGAAAAGATTAAAAAAAATAAATTGATGGGAGAGATTAAGAAAATGTGAAAAAATCGAAAGTTAAGAGAAAGAATAATGTAATAAATTAATTCATATAAAAGATTAAAAAAGATAAAAAAAATTAAAAAGTGGGTAGAAGAAAAAAAATTGGTGAAATATAAAAAATGACCTTATATGTAATAAAAAAAGAAAATGAAATACTTTTAAAATATTAATATTTTAAAATTTAAATTTAAATATAAAATCGGGACGGGGATAGGATCGGGGTGGTGGATTACCCACCCCCACCCCGCCCCAACTTTTTAAAACGGAGAAAACCCGAACTCGTCCCCATCCCAGATCAACTTGGGTTTTCAACATTAAACTCGGGACGGCAACGGGTCAATCCCGGATACAGGTTTAATTGTTATCCCAGTGTGAACCAATTGTTCCGAAATCAAAATTGTTTTCTTTAAGCTACAATCTTATGAACAGCACCAGAAGAAACTAGTGTATAAAAATTCAACAACTTATTCTAAGAACATATGAAGAAAATAATTTACATGAGAGAGGTAGGAACAAAGAAGAAAAGGCCAAAAGATCTGAATAAATGTTCCACTTATCTGTTATGCAAAGGATTAGGACCTGTGTAGATTTTTCTTTTTTCTTCACCTACAATTGTTTCACTACCACCTTCACCTGAAGTCTGTCTAAAACCATGTTTAGCTTGAACAGAATTGGACTTTGACATGAACCCACTTTCAAAGTTTTGAAAATTTCCTGACTCATTAGTGGCAGTAGAAAAGCTCTGTAACAGCAACAAAACCAACATCAGGAGAGTGAAACAAGCCAAACCCATCAGCCTCATGGTCTCACAGCACAGATCATTCGTGGATAAACTGTGACATTCTCAAAATTCCATAGACAGAAAAAGCCAAACGAGCTTCTTTTTGGATCTGATTCAAAAGGGGTAACCAAACAAAGCCTAAAGGCAAAACAAAAAGATCTGATGCAGCTTCCTTTTCACCCCCTTTTGGCACCCTTTTCACTCAGTGGTTGTTTTTGACCAAACTTGTGTGGGGATTGTCTTTTTTTATTTGAATCTGGTGTAACCTTGATGTCTGAGCTCGGAAAATGAGGATGGTCAATAAGAGGGGTGAGTCAATATGCATAGGGGTTGGTGCTTTAAGGCAGATAAATGTGGTACAGACTTTGTTTGGATGCAGATTTCATAGGCCCTTTTTTACTTTGTAAACAACTATGAACCATTTATTGGGGGAAGAGGGAGAGAAAGGAGGGAGAGGAAGAGGGAATTTTCCTTCCATGGGAGCATACAGGTGATGCTGCTACAACTTCATCATGATGCATACATATATATTTACTGCTTGAGGGAAAAGACTGAGATCTTGCGTCAGATTATCAAATAAATTATGCTGTATTTTCTTCTCAAACATCAGAAATCGTAATTCTATTCAGAATAAAATTAACATTATCACCCCACTTTTCTTTGCGTTTCCTTTACACTTCTTGTAAAATGTCAAATTACTTAACATAAAGACTGAGAAAAGAAAGTGAAAAAGAACACTCCTTTTCAAAAGTGTAAGGTGAGAGTATACGAAAATGATGTAAAATGCTTGGAAAAGGACTCAACAAGTATGTAATGATTTGATTATAAGTAAATAATATTTTTCCATTCTTAGTTCATGTTTTTCTTAGCCTTCTATAAATGTATTGCATAGTGGAACTTATCAACACCGAGGAAATATAAATTATATTTTCAAAAATCACTTGAATTCATTTGCAACTGGTATTTAAATTTAATTTTTGTTGAGATTAAAAATTCACAAATATATTCTGAAGGAATAGGCAACAAATCCTCTACTTGAACGTGAATATTATGTTCGTGTGTCTTATCATTATAGAACAATATTAGATATCTACTAAAAACTAATCAGATGTTTATAAATAAAATATAAAAATTAATAGAACACTCAATCAAATAAAATGGGAAAAATGAGATAAAAATCATAAAAAATGGAAGGTTTAAGGTCAAAAGATTTTTTTTTTAATTTTTTATTTTAGAAGTTAAAATGTTTTAATTTTTAGAAAGTGACCAATATAATGAAATGAATGAAAATAAATAGTATTTTCTCTGACAGTGATAAAAGAAACTGTCACTTTTTATTATGGAATATATGTTTTATTTTTCACTGGTATATGATAAAAAAATATAGAAAGTATATAAAAAATAGTATTTTATAAAATTATTTAATCTTTTAATAAATAATTATTCATTTTTATATTTATTATTTCAATTTATATATGTACGATGACTTTTAAGTATGATAAATATGAAAATGATTTAATAAATATTATGTTTTTAATTTAATATTATTTTATTAATTTAAAATTAAATATTTTTAAAATATATATAATTTTACAATAAAAAATAATTTATAATTGTATATTAAAATATATATTATTAAAAAAATATTTGTTTAAAAATATTTCATTCATAAAATTTAATTAATAATTACAATGTCAAACTTATAATTGTATAAATATTTAATTTTAATTAATTTATTTATTAATTGTCAATCTAACGAATATATATATATATATATATATATATATATATATATATATATATATATATATATATTCACACTTTCTTTCTTAATGGTAGAATAAACCTAAATGCTAAACTGATCTCTTCGATAATTTAGTAACAATCCAGTTTTAAGAACAAAATTCCAAGACAATTAGTTTTATAGCATCAACCTTCGAGAAAACAGAGGTGTAAATTCAAAAGTCATTATCTGTGCAGCACAAGGTTGGTCAACTGCTAAGGGTTTTAGGGATTAGGTTCTAAAGTCACTGTGCATGGATGGCATCAATTAATGGTAATGTTAATGTCAGCAGTTATAATTTCATTGCAATTATTAGTTACACTTTCTTTTACTTTACTACGTGAATGACTTATTATAATTTTGTTTTTATTTCAATCAACAACCCTATTCGGAGAATTGGGTTACTCGAGCGGGTCCATCAACTTGTATCGTTTAACTCTCTAACCCGATGGGTTAAAAATAGATGGAGTCTCTTAAGATTAACTTGTTTTTAAAAAATATATATATATATATATATATATATATATATATATATATATATTACTTTTATGTTAATAAAAATGTATTTCAATGTATTTATAAAAAAATTAAAATTATTTTAATTATTGAATTAATATTTCAAATTTATATTAATATTTTAAATAATTTAATAATTGGATAAATATTTTAAGTTTATATTAGTATTTTTATAAAAGTGTAAAAATTAAGTGAACTTATTTTAAAATTTAATTAAACATAATAATATACTATTAACCATAAATCGGTGAAGATTTAGTTAGAAATTAATTTTAAGTTTTATCTTCTTTATTTAAAAAAATGTTAAAAAATCAAAATAATTAATTAAAATAAAGAATTTTAATTTAATAAATGTGTTAATATTAATAGTTATTGGAGAATTAAATTTATAATAATAATTATATAAAATTATAGAATTAATAAAATTTAAATTATTGGTATTTTTTTAATCATGAAGCTAAAATTTGATAATATTAATAAATTAAAATTAAAAAAATAAAAAAAAATTATATATATATATACCACTTTAATTATTTTAATTAAAAATAATTTCATAAAAAAACAAATATTTGAAAATAAAAATGTAAAATTATATATTTTTTCTTTTATTTAATTATAGTTTTTATTTTTTACTTTTTGGGTTTTAGTTCATAACAACAACTTGGTTGCCCTAAAAATCTCATCGTCTTACCACAAAAATATATAATTTCTCTTATTAACAAAGTATTTTTTTATCAGATTAAGAAAATTATCACTAATAAAATTCAAAACAAGTGCCTTAGAGTTAGATACTAATACTCCAACCACTAAACTATTAGAATTTTCTAATAAAAATTTACAAATAAATTATATTTATATACAAATAAATGTATCCGTGTAAATATATAAATATAAAATATATAAATACAAATATATTTATATATTTTGATATATTTATATATTTATAAGTTCGATGTCGAGGTCACGCTAGAGGGTGAAAGTGTGTGTCGAGTGAGTTTTCAAAATTTGATGTCAAATTTGTGAGCGAGTCTCTTTATATGGATTTATAACTTAATGATAGAATATAATCTTTATAATTTATTTATATAATGACATAAAATAATTGTTTTCTTTATTTATTTTTATTTTATTTTAATTTATTCTTTTTATCTTTTTTTTCTTCTATTATTTAATTAAAATTATTATATCAAAATAATTTTTTCATTATTAAAATAATTAAATATTTATTTTCAAAATTATTTTTTAAATTATTTAATTTAAAAAATTATTATAAATTAATCTATGTGTGAAAAAAATAATTATTAAAAGATGATTTTGATTAATTTATAATAATATATGTTAGGAAAAAATTGTTCTATTAATAATCATAATTATATTAATTTATAATAATTTGTTAAATTAAATAATTTTAAAAATAAATATTTAATTATTTTTAATATTGAAAAAATTATTTTAATATAAGAATTTTAATTAAATAATAGAAGAAAAAAAGATAAAAAGAATAAATTAAAATAAAATAAAAATAAATAAAGAAAAAAATTATTTTATATCATTATATAAATAAATTATAAAGATTATATTCTGTCATTAAATTATAAACCCATATAAAGAGACTTGCTCACAAATTTGACATCAAATTTTGAAAATCCACTTGACACACACTTTAACCCTCGAGCGCGTCCCTCACATCCAATATATAAATATATAAATATATTTGTATTTGTATTTATATATTTTATATTTATATATGTACACTGGATATATATTTTTATTTGTATATAAATATAATTTATTTATAAATTATTATAAAAAAATCTTAGTAGTTTAGTGGTTGGAGTATCGATCTCTAACTCTAAGGTATTGGGTTCGAATCCTGCTAGTGACAATTCTTTCAATCTAATAATAATTCAGATTTCTAAGAAATATAATAAATAATAAAAATATATTATAAAAGGGATGTTAGAGACTATTATAATTAGATAAAATAGAAAGGGGGTTATAAAAAAATATTTTTAATTTTTTAACCGAATCAGTGACTGAATCGATCACTGAAATCAGTGACTAAGAAAAGAGTGACTGATTTAGGTTGGTTACTATTTCGGTCACTATTTTAGTTTGTGACCGAAAATTCGGTCACTATTTGATGTTTTTGTTGTAATGAGTATGTAATTGACATAGCCGATTTATATTAATCAAACATTATTTTAATATTACGAAATAGATTGCAAGAATATAAGATTCAATCTTGTTTCTAAAACTCTGATAACCAATAATTAATTTGTACTCATAAGAGGTGGTTTAAACTAGTAAAACATTGTTTTTATATTATGAGAATAGACAAATATCGGACTAACCTTTATTTCATATTGAAAGCAATGAGGGGGAGATTGATGGAAATGTTCCTACATTTCCAAGAGATGATTTTGATGATGATTCAAGTCAATATCATTCAAGATGAATTAAGGACAAGTTGAATTTAAGACGTTGGTGACAATGTGAAACATTTCGCTACATGCCCAAGATATGTTTTTGATAAAGATGATGATTCAAGCAAGTCCAAGATGATTCCTGAATACTATATAGAGTCTTAGAATACTGGATATGGAGGTACAAGTTGATCAAGTAATATTATGCATAAACCTTCAAAGCACAAGTGTGATAAAATTTATAACATGATATTTTTCACTGTCATAATCAATTATGATGCATCAGAAATGGAAAAATGATTTTCTTTGTCATAATTGATTATACTGGTAACATAATCAATTATGGCAATTCAAATTTGAAAAATATATCTATTTTGAAGAATAAATGTTTTTGAATATATCCTAATTTTTATTCATGAAAATATTAATGTCAATGGTCATTTTCTGATGTTATTTTTCTATTTAATTAAGTTTTGATAAAACATCAAAAACACACAATTACAGAATTCGAAAATACAATTTACATTCAATCAGTTTTGAGAAAAAAAAATTGAGCAAGGCAATGGAGATATTTTACACCTTCTGAGAAAACCCTCTTCT